CTTCAGGCACTGAAGATAAAAGATTTTAACTTACACACACAAATGGCAAAGTAAACTACACATTTTGTCAATTATTAGGACTTCTAAATAGCAGGAACAACAGGAACTCCCAAAGGCACTGTGGACAACATAAACATGAAAGTCATCTAGTAATCATGAACCAGCCTACAAGACACACAAAGAAAACTTGTATATGGAACAAGATTTCAGAATCTCATGAGACCAGAAAGCTGTCTGTGTTTAAAAAAGAGATTAAATGTTAACTCCATTGGTCTCTTTTGTCTGAAATTCACTCTTTCTATGAAATTCAACCCTGCACAAAGAGCCAGAATCAGGATTAAGGACCTCATAAACCCCAAGTAATTCCTTAAAAAGGCTTCTGTGCAGAAATTAATTCCAGTAGCTGAGAAAAGTTGTACTATTAACAAAAGGGGGGGGGGGGGGGAGACATTTAGAATTAGTTTGAAAACTCTATAATCTAGAAAACTTTTTAAATTTTGGGAAAAACTTTTCTTCTAAATGAAGATGTACATTCTTTAAAATATGCATTGAAATAGAATCTTAAAATATTTTCTCCTAAGAAATTATAACTATTAAGGTCAATTTCTCTGTTGCTCCTGGCTACAAAGTGATAGCAAAAAATTACAAGAATCATGTCAAAGTCAGCCAGCAGCTACCAGGGCTTCTGAGCAGGCTTATCATTTGCAGGGATTCTCCCTAAAATTAGGGAAATGGTCTTCCATTGATGAGGAATAGGAGGCAAAGAAATGCAAGATAACGAGTCTCCTGTAATATTCTCTTCATGTGGCCTGTAGGAGGTTGAGTTCAACAAAGACAAAGAGAAAGAATGAGAGAAAGAACAAAAGAATAGAAGAAAGTAAGATGACCCTGTATTCAGTTTCTGCACTCCAAGCATAGTCTTACTTGGGGGCCTCCCTATGAGTCCTAGCAGTTCTTTCTGGTGATAAAACAGGTATTGTCTGGTTAATTTACGTCTCTAATGCATGACCTAAATGGACCGAGCAGTGTGTTTGGTGAAGGGACAGGGAGTCCCTACTGACGTAAGCTAGTGAACAGTAGAAGAGAACAGTCCGTTCTAAGGAACTGCGATGCTGAAACTCTTTGTGCCAGCTGAAAATTTATTTCAAAAGCATTAGAGCTCACTGTCGTGGGTTCTCTTGGCTAAACCTCTTGTCAAACTCAGAGGTGGCTTGCCATTCCTGCTCTAACCAGCTGTTGAGCTATTGCTCTCTGTCAGAGAGCGAGAGCCACCTTGGTGGCTGTGCCAATTCCAGACAGGTCTAACCTTCTTGTAAGTTTGGGTACATTCCTCTTTAAAAAATGAAAAAGACCTTTTCTTCTTTTTTTTTCTTTCCTTTTTTTCAGTTGGGGTAAATTCCAGCATTATTATTTGGGCATGAGCCAGCCTAATGCTCAGTATGCCTGGGAGTCACAGAGGGTTTGCAAATGCTGTACTGCTGCAGGAAACAGTCCCTGGGAAATGCAGGCTCCAAGCTTCCCATTGCTTACCTTAGGGAAAGGAGAATACCCCAAGCAGGAAGGGTCTGTTTTATGGAAGGGATGTCCATATAATCCTGTACATCACTGAACTGCAGAAGAGCTTAAGCTTCAGAGAAACTGCAATGTGAACATGGCAATAGCCAGACAACTAACAGATCAGTTGGAAAGCAGCATAGCAAATACTCAGCAGTGAAGGTAGCTAGCAACAGAAGTGGCTAGTGGGGCTGCCACTTCAAATAAATTCAAGTTTCCAATATATTAATATATCTATTATCTAAAATCATAGGGGGCTGGGATATCCCAGTAAAATAGAAAACTCAGTACTGGGGAGATGCTGTAGCCATCACATGGCATAGCAATTCCACAAACCCAGTAGAATGGCTATGGTACATATGAAAATCAGCTGTATTTATTTTTTACATGACAGTTTGCTTAATGTGTAGAGAACATTTTAAGAAATTTAGAGAGGAGCTTTGAGGAAAATTGGCCTGTTTGGAAAACTTGTGTCTCTTGACTGGAAGTCTGCTTCTAACATCTGAGGACACAACATGACCCCACACTGCAGACTCCCCTGGGACTGGGATTCACCTGAAAAATCATCAGAAAAATCAAGACAAGATCTTTCAGCATTGTGCATAAGAAAAACTTCTTAGCTGTCCTTCAGAAGCCAGTACTCATAACTGAAACTCTTCATGTCATTTAAGTAAAAAAAAAAATTATGATATATTTTCTTCAGTTACATACAATATGTTAATTGTAATTACCTTATTCCCGTCTCCTGTACTACAGTAGCACAACTACAAGGTTTTCTTCGCGCCTTTTATCACTAGGTGGCGACGTTAGAAGCAAGAAACGCGATGAAGACCAGGGACAGAGCAGCACCCCGAAACGTTAACTTCCACCACAGTTTGGAGGAAACATTAAATCCCGGGCAAACTCTGATCCGTTTATTTATTTGAAAATTCACGTATTGACTTTAAAGCAATTGAAAGAAATGTCGGTCCAGGACTGTAAATCCCTTAATACAATTTAATCCTTGAATTATAACCATTCTAATCCTTGCAATATAAACGTTTTGGTGGGAATTCGACCCTCAAACTACATAAACACCTGTCCACACCTTTTCACCATGTGAAATCCATAGCAGTGGTATGTAAATAAGATGAGAACAAATTGTCTTTCATTTCCAGGTATTTCCTCTCCTTGTGGTTTCATTACCAACTATTTTTAAAGAAATACATGGAGACGTTTACAAGATCTTGTTAAAACAGTACAAAAAATGTCAGCAGAATGAGTTCCAAGATAGCAGTAGTTTTCTACCACAGACCAAGCAAAGCAGAGCAAATTTAAGACACAAATCTTTTTATCAAAATGCATCTGTAAGAGTATTAGCTGTGAACAGAATCCAGCATCCTAGTCTATAAACATTTTAAGCAGAAAAACAACAGAAGCTGATTATTGTAGATGTTAAGTTTCCTGCATGTACTCATCCACAAAATGTCTTGTTCTCTGAGCAGCGAAAGTAGTGCAACTTCCTTCCTTACGAATTTGTCGTACCCTCCATCTCCCAAACTCCTCCTCTGCCATACTCCCACTTTCCCCTGTGACTAAGAAAACATTCAGGCCACCTCCCCATCCCCTAACCTCCATTTTGGGGGTTCCCCACATGAGAGTGTATTGGGTCTGGCTGAGATGGAGTTAATACTCCCCATAGCAGCCCTCATAGCACTGTGCTCTGCATCAGTAGCTAGAAAGGTGTTGATAGCACACCAGTGTTTTGGCTACAGCTGAGCAGTGCTGGCACAGCATCAAGGCTGTCTCTCCAACATTTTTGCCCCCCCCCAATGGCAGGCTGGGGCAGGGCAAAATCTTGGGAGGGGACATAACCAGGACAGCTGACCTAAACCAACCAAACAGATATTCCATACCATATGACGTCAGCTCAGCTATAAAAGCTAAGTAAAGGGAGACGGAAGGTGGGGCATTTTGTCTTCCGGAGCAACCACTACGCGTACTGAAGCCCTGCTTCCCGAGAAGTGGCTAGACATCGCCTGCTGATGGGAAGTAGAGAATAACATCATTTGTTTTTTCTTTGCTTTCACAGGCGCAACCTTTGCTATCACTTTATTAAACTGTCCTTATCTTGACCCATGAGCCTTTTGTTATATTTTCTCCCCCCCGTCCAGCTGAGGAGGGGGAGTGATAGAGCGGCTTTGGTGGGCACCTGGCATCCAACCAGGGTCAACCCACTACAGAGAGCCAGCCCCAGCTGAGAGCAGCACGTTTCAGTGCCTGCTGCCGAGTTGCTATTACCAGGAAAAAGAGCCCCGTGCTGAGTCCCTGTCCTTGGGCACTGGCACTAGCAGGGCCTCTCTGCGTCACCCACCCAGCCTCTGGTTTTCCACACGGCTGTGGCATGAACTGCAGAGAACCAGAGCCCTCCGCGTGCTCCTGCTTCTGGCAGACAGGCCCAATGAGCAGCTGCAGGCGCCGTACCCAAGATGTGATTTACAGACACCAAAGAAAGTTTTGTTTCCTTCTAAGAGGCCCGTGGAGGACGGGTGTCCTGGCAGAGGCTTTCCCAAGCATGGACGCAGCTGGGATTTCTGCTCCAGCTGGGCCCCGGCCTGGCACCCCCAAAACATCCCCATGGTTACAGCTGCCACAACCTGCTTTTGCATCCCCCATCGTTTGGGGGTTGATGCGATAAATCTAGCAGGTTTGTTCCCAAGGCTGCAGAGAAGAAGAGTGCCGGCAGCTCTGAAGAAGCTGCCTTGGCGGGGTAAGCCTCAGGCCAGGCCAGTCCCCAGTGACCAGTCACCGGCCGCAGGCACTGGCAGCCCCTTTGGGGAGGTGCCGTACCTCGCAAGCCCACGCAGATTTTCCTCAGGAATGCATCTAGGGAGAGCAAAGATGCGATCATAACTAAACCACCACAGTCTAACGCTGCTTGAGACCAGCCGGACGAGGCGCCGGGAAGGAAGAGAGGGAGGAGAGCGAGTGCTGCCCCGTGCCGGGCGGAGGACTCGAACCCGCGACCTCAGGCTCTCCAGCGCCGCGCGCCGACCTGCGGAGCCCGGGCACCCCACGTAACACACCTCCCCGCCGGGGCCTGCCAGCACTTCCGTAAACATCGCGGCAGCTGAGTGACAAGGGGCGACGGCCAATCGCGGCGCGCGGAGCGCCGGGGGGCGGGAGCCTCTCCACAGCGGCGCCGGCCG